AGAGGCAAATTTAAACTTGTACTTCCCCCAATGAAGTTGGAGAAACCATTCTGAATAAATTATTGATGTGGCCTCATGGAAGTGGGGGTATAGGGGCACAGTGGGAGAAACCAGATTCCAGAGTCAATTCCATCAGCACAGGGTGAGGACACAAGAAAGCTCCATCTGCACAGTGTGGAGGGATAGAAGAGATCCATCAAACAGTTCTCATAGATAGCTAAGGGACTAGTGTCCTCCAAGTTCCGGCCCACTCTAAGAGTCAGTCTTTTATTTTGTTCAGGGTAGTTGTGATGTTGGAGTTATTGACCACGCTCACAGAAAAGTTTTTGAGACATTTTACTCTAAATGAGAGAGAAATGGGTGGTAATTAAGGAATTGTGAGGTCACAGTTGTATACTTCCCACCCCATCCATGGTTGTATTGAAGTAGAACTGTATGTCACTATGAATAATCCAATAGAAACAAAATAACAGGTGACAATAGATGTCAAAGGGAAGGTAGCTACAGGAGGTAACTACAACAGCAAAGTTCTTCAGATGGTTAGAATAACCTAAAATCCAGGCATAAATGAGGATTAGCCATAATGGGATGAAATCCACCCTTCAAGAATAACAAGAAAAACTTGGTGGCACGTGGCTGTAATGTTTGTATCTCCTAGCACTTGGGAGATACAGAAAGATCAGGAGTTCAAGGTTATCCTTTGCTATGGAGCAAGCTCAAGGCCAGCCTGGGCTACATAAAACAATGCAACCTCACCCCCCCAAAAAATAGAAATCCCATAAAAAACAAAAACATATTGACTAGAGGTGATGTTAACCAGACAATGGTAGAGGTAGCTCTCCATCTTACCTGCCTATAACTATTTTCTTTATAAAGTAAAATATTAGTTAAGAATGATAGAATATATTTTGTAGGAGTTTGTAGAGATATTAACAGGTGTTTTATTCTGTTCTACAACTTAGATTTTCCCAAAGGTCTGCTATTTAGCAAAATTACTTAGCATCTACTTTTATATATGGTAAGCTTTATTAAATATGGTGGTTTACTGGTTAGTTTGTGACTTTTGGCGCCTTTTATTTGCTTAACTGGTTGATTCTGGTTTGGTTTTGGGTGGGGAAGCTGGTATCAGTAACTTAAGGAGATACCTAGTATCAAACAATGCTCTCAAAGACAACATAAAATGGGGCCAGCAAGATACTTCAGAGAGTAAAGGTACTTACATTACCATCAAACCTGATGGCCTGAGCTCTATTCCAGGGACTCACAAGGTAGGAAGAGAGGAATGACTCTTGAAAGTTGTCCTCTGACCTCCACACATGGACTGTGGCACAGATATGACCACATACACAAAATAAATAAGTAATTTTTACTAAGGAACTACAATAGGACTATGCAACAGTGTTGAGTACACATTTGATATTTGTAATCAGATTTAAGTTTAGTCAATATGTTTATGATTTTCACCTAATAAGTTTAGCTGCTCTGACAAAATGAAATATGTAAGCATATTTAAGGGGCTGGAGATATGGTTCAGCACTTAAGAACACTTGTGGCTCTTGCAGAGGACCCCAGTTCAGTTCTGAGCACCCACAGGGATGGCTCACAACTGTCTGTAATTCCACGTCTAGGTGATCTGATATCATTTTCTGGCCTCTGCAAGAACCAGCATTCACCTGGTGCATATAAACACACAGAGGCACACATATATATACATAAATAGTTTTCTGAAAATAGTCATTTAGTCTAGATCACATATCCTAAACTGGACAGAAGAGATGTCATAAGCAAGGACAGTAGTTTAAAAACCATATTATTTATACAACCTTATTTACATACTGAGTTAAATATTCTTAAAGCAAATAATGCTTCTAAGACTTGGAAATTTAATACTAATATTTGATATTTTATATTAATATTTCTAAGTATAATAATGCATTGTGCTATATTTTTATTTATGAGTCTGTTGTGGACTACACTTCAAAGCAATATAAGCAGTGAAGAAGTAGCTGAAGGCAAAAATGAAACAAGACTGACCATGAGTTGAAAACTGTTTAAGCAGGACGGGTTTAGGAGAGCTCACTATACTATGCAGTCAAGAAAGAGCATGGTAGGTCTTTCCATCTCCTAGTGCCTTCCTCTATCTCTTTCTTTAGAGATTTGAAACTTTCACTGTAGGGATCTTTAATATCTTTGGTTAGGTTTATTCCTAAATATTTTCTGAAGCTATTGTGAATGGGAATGCTTCCTTGAATGCTTTTCTGATTGCTTGTTATTGATATACAGAAAGGCTACTGGTTTTTGTAAGTTCATTTTGTAACCTGCCACTTTACTGAAAGTATTAATCATTTCTAAGAGTTTTCTAGTGGAATTTTTGGGATCTCATATATAATATGTTGTCTACAAATAGAGATAATTTGACCTCTTCTTTTCCAATTAGTACTCCTTTAATTTCCTTTTCTTGTCTTACTGCTCTTGCAAGAGTTTCAAGCACTATACTGAAAAGGAGTGGAGACAGTGGACAGATCTGTCTGGTTCCTGATTTTAATGGGAATGCGTCTACTTTTTCTCCATTTAGAATGATGCTAGCTATAGATTTGTTGTATATAGCTTTAATTATGTTGAGGTATGTTCCCTCCAGACCAGTTCCTTCTAGGACTTTTAACATTGAATGCATGTTGGATTTTGTCAAAGGCCTTTTTTGCATCTATTGAGATGACCATGTGGCTTATGCCTTTATGCCCATTTATATGTTTTATTACATTTATTGACTTATGTATGTTGAATGATCCCTGCATCTTTGGAATAAAGTTGATTTGGCCATGGTGGATGATCTTTTTGATGTGTGTCTGTATGAAGTTTGCAAGTATTTTGTTGAATGACTCTTGGGGGGGGAGTAGAAATCCTAGAGGGAAATGTGATGCCCCCAAAACCCCAAAAGAAATGCCCATACAGTGTGTAAACATTAGTGCATATGTATACCTGGGAACTGCTTGGCAAGGAACACAGTGGCTGACAGAAGAGACCTCCCTTTGAGTGGTTGGTGGGAGTGGTCCAGGACTCTCAAAATAATACCTCTTGGTTAGCCAAACCTCTTGGTTATTTCCCAAAACTAGTAGTATGACCCTACTGCTGAAGACAGGACATGCTTTAGATACAGATCTCAGAGCAATGGAGCAGGAGCTGACCTGGAGGCCTTCTACCTCAAGTTTACTTATCATAATGCTAGATGCAAACTGTCAAGGGAGAAAAACAATCAATGGTCCAAACCAGCCCTAAACCCTAATAACCTTAACTACTTCTATCAGTGCAATAGTGGACTGTCATCTGGGAGGCAATCAAAAGCTATTTAATTGGACTTAAAGCCCTCTCAATGGGAGTGAACTCATGGGTGACACTGTAAACTCAGCCAAATACACATGGCAGGAGAAGACACAGATCCTAGAGAAAACCCTATCTCTTTCATATCGCTAGACAAATGAAATTTCTTACCATATGCTAAATACGGATCCTTATATTTACAGACAAGCATACTGAACACCACTCATCAAAGAAGCTTCTTTGTGCAACAGATGGAGGTTACTACAGAATTCCACAACTGGTCAGACACAGAAAATATACATCTGAGAGATGCCAAGTACTAGATGACACATCTACAGTTGAATCTCTACATGTAAGACTCAGGGAACATAGTGGAACAAGGGGTAGAGAGAAAACTAATGCATTCCTCAACTCTCGCCAGTAAAGCTTCCATATACAACAGAGTATGATGTACACAGAAGGGCAGAACCTGCCAAGTTTTGAAAAATAAGAGACTGCAGAGCATGTATCCTTGGATGGAACTCTATATTGAACCTCATCCACCCACAGCTCAAGGACCATTGTGGAAGAGGGGGCGGAAGGATTGTAAGAGCCAGGGCTGGTTCCTGAACACAGGGAAGCAGAGGCTTTCAGGCCATTGGAAACTTGCACATGTGAACTTGTGGCAATGGTAGCACCTAGCATAGGACCCATACCAACTCAATTAAACAAGGGCCCAGAGGGGAGGAGAGAAATGGGTGGAGATTGAGAACTGAGAACTATTGGAGACTGAGAACTACTGGAGACTGGTTGATACTCAGTGAGGGAGAGTATGCCTTACTTACAATCTCTAGATGGGCTGACTAGACTCCAGTGGACAAATTTACACTGAAGAACATTTGGGTACAAATGCTTGGCTGGGTGGGACTTAATGTGTATGGCAGAATACATGAGGTATGGTGGGGGAATGGAGGGCATGGGGAACGGGGGTCTAAATTTGGTTAAGAACTGTTGTATGAAATTACAAAAGCTCAATAAAAAAAATTTTTTTAAAGAGCACACCACATAGAAAGTTCACTTAGCATGAAATATATATAGCTCTAATTAATTATTATATTTTTAAGACCTTAAAATCTTTAAAATTTGCAAATACATAAAACAAACACAGAGGCAAATCTTGTAATTTGCCTGTTTCATTTAAAACAATGTGAAAGGGCTATGACATGAGAGAATGGTACAGTTAAAAGAACAGGAACAAGTCAGAAGATATATACTGTATTTTATTCTGTACAATGTTCTTCATAAAGATTAATTAAATATAATGTCTTCAAAGTAATGTTTTGTATAAAATCTCAAAATAAACAACACAGAATTACAATTCGTAAACTTTGCTACGTTGTAAACAACTCTTAGATTTTTGAGGGGGAGGGGGTCTTTTTTGAGACCGGATCTCCCTGTAGTCTGAGCTGGCCTGGAAATCACTATGTAGAGCAGGCTGGCCTTGAACTCACAGACATCTGCCTGCCTCTGTCTCCTGAGTGCTGGGATTAAAGGCCTGCACCACCACGCCTGGCAACTCTTAGATATTTACCACACTGTTGTTTCAATAAATTATCTCACAACCTAGCTTATAAAATAGCACATGGTAAGACAGGAGGCTTTTAATGTATATTCATAAAATATATTTAGAACTTTAAACTTACTATTTCTCTCTGTTCTCTTGGAAAAGAAGAAAATAAGCACGGTTCTTATGGTCCAGATGCTAAAGAGGAAGCAAAATACAAAACAAAAGCCATCATTACAAGAAGCAAATCAGAATCTACAGAAGATATAAATACAGAGTTCAAATTAAAATTAGATAAAACTATTTCTCTTTACATATTGAAAATCAAAAAGTACTATTTTCTGTCAAGGAACATCAGAACCTCACCTGAGCTTTCAATGGAGGAGTTCTCAACCTGAAATTCATGGGCCTTCTAAGGCTACTCCCCTGGAATTACAAAACTGTCTTTTATGCATGAGTGCATTTCTCTGGAGAAGTCAATAATTTTGTCAACTTCAAAGGGTCTATGAATTCCCTAAGAGACTAAGAACAATATAATAGAATGTTTCTTTTTTTTTCTTAAGAATTTATTTTTATTTATGTGTATGTATCTGCATATATATGAGTATGTATCTGTAGGTGTCCACAGAGGTCAGAAGATGTTGAATCACCTGGAGCTAGAGTTACAGACAGCTGTGAGTCTCCCAACATGGGTGCTCAGAACTGAACTACAATCCTCTATAAGAGCAGCAAGTATTTTAACCACTGAGCCATCTCTCTAGCTTCAAGAATGCTTTCTTAGTATCAATCCCGAAAACTATTAATTATTCCCTTGTTTTAATAGGCAATCATATTTTTCTTTTCTAAATATAACAGCATTACATAAATGTTAAAATGCTACTCCTTCCCTACCACTTAACATTGGAGAGATCTTCTTTATTCAATAGACTAAGCTGTCTGAGGAAAGAAAACAAAATAAGGTAAACCTTACTTTCAAATAAATACAAGCTAAATACATCCTTTTAAGATTTTATGGTAATAATTCTTTAGGCTTTGCATTAGTTAGATATCAAATAATACTAAAAGCATTAAAAGAAGGCTGGAGAGATAGTTCAGCAATTAAGAGCACTGGCTGCTCTTGCAGATGACCTAAGATTCAGTTCCCAGCACCCACATGGCAGCTTACAACCATCTGTGATTACAGTTCTAGGGGATCCAACAACCTCTTCTGACCTCCACAGGCACTGCACAACACAGGTGCACTTACATACATGCAGGTCAAACATCCATATACATATAAAATAAAAATAAATCATTTTTAAGTATTAAAAGAAACTAAAAGAAAATCCTATCACAAGCTTTTCTAGGTCATTTAATTCAATATATATTTTTAAATTCAATATAAATATATAAAAAACTGGGTTTTCCAATGGTTCAGTTTGCAAATTCATTGGCAATTCACCAAACATTTATCAACACCTTTTGTGTGCCAGACCTTAGCTCAAGCTCTGCTGAATGATAGCTGCCACTCTCTGGACAACTGATTAGTACACAGAAAGGAAGGCAAAGAAAACTCTGAGAACACGTCTGAAGAAAAAAATAGAGAAGAGTTGGGTATGGTGGTATATACTACAAACTCATAGGGTTTCCCTGTAGCCCCAGCTGCCCTGGAATTTGCTATGTAGACCAGGCTGGAACTCACAGAGACCCACCTGCCTCTGCCTCCCAAGTGTTGGGAGTAAAAGCATGTGCCACCATGCTGGGCTTAAAATTTTTTTAATTAAGAAAAATAAGGGACTGGAGAGATGGCTCAGTGGTTAAGAACACCCACTGCTCTTGCAGAGGACCCAGGTTCGATTCCCAGCACCCACACGGTGGCTAACAACTGTCCATAACTTAGTTCCATGGGATCCAATGGCCTCTTCTAACTTCTGCAGGCATTACACAATGCGGGTACACTTTCACATACACAAGCAATACACTTAGACACATAAACCTAAAAAATAATACTCAATAAAATATTTTTAAAATATATTTACAATCCAGGTATGGTGGCACATGCCTTTAATCCCAGCACTTGGGAGGCAGAGGCAGGCGAATCTTTGTGAGTTCAAGGCCAGCCTGGTCTATATAGCAAGTTCCAGGCTGGCTGGGGCTACAGGGAGACCTTGTCTAAAAGAGAAGTTCAAAAAGAAAAAGTAAAATTATAATGCAAAAATACAGAGGAAACATTTCCTCCATGCTTCCAAGTGAAGCCAGCCACAGTTGAGCAGGACCATTGACTTATCTTCACATAGATGGAACTGGTAAAAGAAAGGAGCCAGGGGCTTCTCCCAAGCCCATGTGACCCCTGAAGAACAGATCCTCAAACAACCTTAAGAGCAAAATAAATTGGCTTATCTAGGCCAACTGTATGGTCTTAAACACACAAAAGAAAGTACAACCGACTACTATCCTCAGGCCTCTTGGGGTAAGTCTACAGCACAGCTCTCCGCGCCGGGACTCCCTAAACCACATTCACCCTTCCATCCCCCCCTCCACCCCACCCAATCTATACTCCTAGTTTGGGCCCTGCGCCATTCCTAGTCTTGGGGCCCCAAACACTTTG